AATGGCTGCACTAAATTGAAACATATTAAATTAATACATTATACTATATGGATAAGATAAAATATTCAAATTAATAATTCAAAACAATATAAATACTATAAAGTTTAAAAGCAAAACTACAGTTTCTAACATTCTAATAAACAATTGGAATGTACCTAACCTTTAAAAGTGAAATTTGATAAAAGCCAAATGATTATATTAAATCTTACAGATCTAAAAATTAATTTTATAAATTTAAATCTTATTTGGGGCATACTGCAACAAAACCAGACAAAGTGAACGTTTATAATACTAAAGAGTTAAGCATTTCAGACTCAGTAATGAACATTTATTGACAACTTTGCTTCAGAAGTTTAGAAAATAGTCAGGTGCCTAGAAAGTGACTCTAGTATTTACATTATCATATTCATATTTATCCCTTAAACTTGAATGAAAAAATTAAGTACACTCCAATTATGGTTAATTTGTTTGGTAAAAAAGTTTTACTAGTGTAAAAAAACACTTAATTATTTTTAAAGTTGCAATTAGAAAAGTTTTTATTCCTTAATATTAATATCTAGTCTAAGATCGTATGATAATACATACCTGTTCTAATAAACAAGTTTAATTAGTGAATAGTGTCTAATTTAAAAAATGAAAATTTACTTTAAAAATTTTGTATAAAATTACAAAAAGAGAAAAGGTTTATACATTTTATTTCTTTCATTTTTTTTAATTAGAAAGATGCAACTGAAATTGTTGCAATTGCCTTTTTTTTCATAGGCTTATTAAAGTTTATTAAAGAATTAGAAGAAGAGAGAGAAAAACTCAATGATGAAAGGAAAAAAAAATTAGCCAATAAAAAAGGCCAATTAATAGAAAAAATCGGAGAAGGAAATTACAAATTCTTGCCTTATAATTAGAATTGTAAATTTTTGCACAAACTATGAAATTCTTTTAAGGGATAAAAATAAGAAAATTGGTATGTGATTGAACTTTATCCAGGATTGATTAAGGAAGTGGTAATAATAAAGTTATTTATTTAATAATAAAAAAGATTCAAAGATTATAATTATCATATGACTAACTACTAGTCTCCTTCTTCGAAATTTGGAATATCTGTTTCATCATCTGAAACTGCATCAACTTTCTCCAAATATTTGATTGCTTTTTTAGCAAACCTTTGTGGCTGAGACCAAATTGATATGGGAGGTACACTCACAGGAATATTTTCACCACATATATCTATAACTTTAGATACTGTTTTAAGTTGAAATTCACGTCTAGATACTGATGCATATGATGATTTTTTCCCTTGGCCAAAATCGATCGATTTATGACTCCAATCATAACCTTGATATTGTATTGCGGAATATGCATCTGCAGCTGCAAAATATTTTTGTCATTCAGATTCTTGGCAATCCTTTATTTTAAATATAGCTTCCTTACATATTTTTGATGCATCATCTATATTATTTACGGTTCTTCTGTTATATGGATGAAAATTGTCATGAGAAACTCTAGCAAGTCTCCTTAATAGGTTTCTGTTTCCCATTGTCCATGTTTTATTTACTAAATAATACGGTGAATTACTTGAAAGTAATTGAGATGGCAATAATTGTTGGTTTTTGTGATCATGTTGTAATTCTTCACTTGTTTGTTTAACATTTTGATGATTGAGGTTTTGATCATTATCATTTGTACTACTATCAATACTATTATTTGGTAGATTATTATGTTGAAAAGCTTTAGAAGAATTATGGAGTCCAAGAAAGGGTGACGTAGAAACTAAACGATTTTGATCAGCTTGTAAACCGGAAATCTTGGGTACATCACATGAAGAGAAAGGTGTGGATGAAATGAATGGTGAGAATGTTAATGAATCATTATTGTTATTGTTGAATAAACTTGTGCTTTTTAAGACAAAAGAATCTCTATGAGCAGGTTGTAAAAATTGACCAAAATTAAGTATATCCAATTCATTATTAATAGTATTATCTTGATAATTGTTATCATTATCATTATTGATATTAGCCAGGGTTGGCAAATGTGCGGTCCATTGATGGTCTATTGGTGGTCCATTGGGTCCATTAGTGTAACACTTTAACCATATTTAGTATTTTATTAATGGCAATGGACCAGTCCAAAATCCATCTGTTCTCAATGGACCAGTCAATTTGCCAACCCTGATATTAGCTAATCTTTGATGCAAGTTTGTTATTTCAAGTTTTTGTCTTTCTATAATTTCCCATAAATTATTATTCTGAGATCTTAAAAAAATACATTCATTAATTAATTCTTGAAAAGTATATTGTTTTTCGTTTTCCTACAAATTGAAAATTATGTTAATACTAAAACAATCAATTTTACCCATTTAAAAAGAATATAATATGCTTATTACTTTATTTTCTGTAAAGCTTTTTGATAAAATAAAAAAAAAAAAAAAATACGTTAAAAATAAATTTTTTATTGTTTGTTTAATAAAATTAGAGTGACGAGTGATGGCGATAACCACCACCATCCTTAAAACACTTACTCGCATCTTTCTTTGTCTTTTTGTTGGCTTCTTTTTCCTTTCTCTTTGCATGGCATTTTTTGAGAAAAAAAAATAAAAATAAAAAGAAGTTTGTTGTTTGATCGACGTGTACACATTAATTTTTTTTTTTTTTTTTTTGGAAAAACAAAAAACAATTTATTTTTGACAGAATCCAAGGTGACAAAAACGCGAGTGTTGTTGTTTGGTTTGGTTTGGTTTGGTTTGGGTCTCCTAAAGAAAATGTGTCAATAATAGAGGTACTATTTTTTATTTGTATTGATATAATGTGGTATCTTTTTATTTTATAAACATTTTAATTGGAAATCAAAACGCAGAGCAGATCTTGCTGGGTAATTAATTACAAGATTTTCATTGATAATATTTTGTTTTTCGTAATCAATAATAATATTAATAATATTATTATAAATATTATAATCACAAGATATCAAGGCAGCACACCATTTAAAAAGAGACATTTCAAATATGCAATGTTTGATTATTGGAAATTAGCAGGCGTTAAAGCACGCATGCTATCTTGAACACTTTACAGTCATTCTCTCACCTTCCTTGTGTACACAAGGCTAATCTGACCTGCTCCCTCCGATGTATACAACGATGCAACTGAATTCCAGGGGGCGGGGGCATGGCCCTAGAGTTTACCGAGACTGCACCAATCGTCAATGACACTTTCACTAATCTTCCCAGACCAGAGATGGCTGCTGCCATGTTGAATGAAAAGTTGACTGCAACAATCCTGCCTCTAGGGTAAGGATGGCTTTGTGACCAAGATGTTGCAACTCTGGAGGAACATTAAGAGAATCTGCAGCTTGTTTCAAGCACGGGAGATTACAATTCAGAGCAGGGTTGGTGACCCTGAAATTGCATTTGGGCTCTGATGTTAGGAGAAAGCTGTAAAATAAAAATGGTTTAGATATTTTTTTTTGGTATGTATAAATTAATCATTTTCATAAATTTTCTGTTTCTTTGATTTTTATTTGATCAACTGAATTTGTTATTTAAATGGGGGTAGGGTTGTTGGTGAGCAGGTGTGCCACTGACAAAACAGCAACCCAGGTTGCAACCTCCAGAGTTGGAGTATTTTCAACCAGTCTTAACACCAACTTTTATTCTAGTGAAGTATAACACACAAATACTGATCCTCATCAGCAATTGATGCTTATATGGAAACAGCCAGCCTGGTCTGAGGGGAAGATAAGGAAATGTTTTGTCCAAAGCCTTCCAACTTGTTCAAATCCATTTCAATCATGGAGAAAACTCCATGGTGATGATCCGCGTGTGCTTAATTGCACCGAGTTTGCATGTTTGTGGTAGGAAATTTTAACTAAATCTGACACCTGCAATTAACATCAGATTTATTATTCATTTTTGTGAACTCCAGAGATCTGGGTAGACATGTATTATTAAAAGCTTCATTTCTGCATGGCCTTTGGTATTATTATTACCTGGGTGATGCAATTGTTTATTATGTCAATTATAACATCCAATGTATTGAATAATAATCATGACCATCATGAATATTTGATGGATGGAGGCATTCACATACAGGAAAATGATTAAACAGCTAAGTCATGTTTGTTTTGTTTTATTAAAGATATATAATTAATTATATTTAAAAAATTATTATTTTATTTCACCTTTGTAATGGCATTAATTTCAATAATTCTGAAATTGTTTGTTTCTTAGTGTTAATGATTGAATCAATCACACAAGTGATAGTCAGTTTAGATGGCTTTTTTAAAAAAAGTTTAGTTGAATTAATGTTATTAAATGGGTTTTTTATTTATAATAATAATTTTAATATTTTTTTTGATACATCAACCTCAGTCCAAAATCTATCATATCTAGTGTTTGTATTCATGATATTCAGATATTGTCCGAACAATTCTGAATGAATATAAACACTAATCATATCTATATATTTTAAAATTTCTTTTTTGATTAAAAAAAAAAAAAAAAATTAAAACATTTATTTATTTTTTTTATAGTACATTTCTATTAGGTCAAATGATACATTCAGCAAAAATCTCAGAAGATTACATTGTGCATTAATTCTAAGATTAAAAAATTAGTTTTAATGTTTTACAGTGTGGATCATCTATACTCAAAAGTTAAAAATTTTGAAATATTATGTGATCCACACATTGGATTTTAAAAAAACCACCACCATTCATTTCAGCTTTAAAAAGCGAGTCAATTCATACACAAAAAAATTTTGGCTCAAATTTTCTTTTTTATAGATTTTTTAAACTTGAGAGTTATGCTCAGAAATGTAATAATAATTTTCGTGTTACAATATTTTGAAAATACATATCCAAATTTGGGCATGATTTTCTTTTAATGTAATATGTTCGTTGAACTTTTTTATTGTAAAGAACTTTTATTTATTAATAAAAAACAAAAATAAATAATACAAATAGCAATAATCCAGCATATTGATATGTTGTAAAAAATATTCTATGAAAAAAATTTGTTACACGAAATTTACTTAGTCTCAATTTCTTGAGTGTATAACAAAATTCGGAATTTTCAAAATGCTAAGGCTCAGCCAATTTTTAGTTTAAGAAAAATCTAGCCGATAAGTTTTGAAGCTTGAGTCATAAACAATAAAACTTATCGGTTAAATTTTTTAAAATGATATAAAAAATTTTTGTTTTAGTATTTTGAAGCTGACTGATTGTTACTATAAACAATTAATGATTATAGATGATCTGCACCGTAGTATAATCAACAATTTTCTTCAATTGTTTTTTTAGAAATATCTGTTTTAGTTGATCAATAAATCTCAGATCTCAAGATAATTTATCTTATCCATTTTTAGTAATAATAGATAATTTAAATCTAACATATCAATTATTGAATATATACTTGAAAATATTTCTGATATTTATTTGCAGATCCACTCAAATTTAATTCTTTTCTGCCCACTTTGCTCATCACCACAGGACCAATTTCAATTTTAAAATAAATGAAAACCTACAAAGTGAACATAATATTATAAAATTATATATATAGGGATAGGTGTATATGAAAAGTAATAATAAGTATAATGGTTCTAATGAATATCAAAA